TTGTGTTTCCCTTCCCCTCCTTTGGGTTTGTGCGCCGCCTTGAGTCCCGCCGGGAATAGGGCGGCATATAAATAAAATGAACCTCGAACCTGGTTACTGTCCCCTATGCCCATGAATGGATGAGGCTGCTTTCAGCTTGCCTCTCCACCACCCCAAAGGTGACTGATACTTGCGCTGCCTTGCCACACTTCCAAAATTCCACACCACAAGTCTCACTGCGCACCACAGCAGAGGCCAAAACCTCTTATCCTATTCTGCTGCCTATTTTAGCCGGAGAACACCATTTGGCCTGAGTGGAGAGTCAGAAGGTAAACTCAGTTCAAAGTTTGAAATATAGGATTAATGGGGAAATGAACCAAGAACAGCATGCAAGAGGCCGCTCGCGTATTCCATGCATACTTTGTATGCATGCAGAGCCCAGAGTCTCTCTCAGGTGGCCTAGTCCTCCTCGCCAGGGACCTCATCCACCCGGGGCTTCGGCATCCCTACTTATGAGGTCTCACAGACAAGCCCATCCAGAGTGCTCCACTTACCGCGCTGGATTTGAGCTCATCTCCATTTTCCTCCTCTGATTCTAGTGCAACAGGTAAGGATTTCTGTGGTGGAGAGCAAGTTAAGTCCCACCTCAACAGCCGGGGTTCACCTTTATCCCCGAACCTCAGGCTCTCTAGTTTCTGCACTGCTGGCTCACCAGAAGATGCCGGCCGGAAGTTCTCCTTGTTCTGGGAGGATGACCTCAGCCTCTGGACGCCAAAGGCCCACTCTTCCCCAGGGTGCTGTTCTTCAGCCAGGTTCTTGCTCAGGCCCATTTTGCCGTGATGCCTTTTTTGGGACTGCATCTCCTGCATGTAAGAGTCCATCCTCATGAGGGGCTTCATCTCCATCTCGTAATTGCTCAGCTTCTCCTCGTCCAGCTCCGAGAGCTTGTTGCTCCCCGAGCCGTGGTGGTGCGGGCGGTGATAAGTCCACGAAACCATGGTCGGAGGGTCGGCCCACCGCTCCCGCGGTTTGTGATTGGCGGTACCATGCTTGGGCCCACCACCACCACCACTCCGGCCTCGAGGGTCTTCCAGTTGGCCGCTGCGCAAGACCCCGCCTCTTATCCCGTGAGGCCCACCCTCCTTGTCTTCGCCCCAGCTGTTAGGCCTCATGAACTCCCTACCGCGTCCTTCCAACAGCATCTGGATCTCCCCACCCCGCTCCTCGTCCACAGAGACCTGTCTGGTGAAGTGGGCGTTCTTGTTCCGACAGGAAGGGCCCAGAGGCGGGGATGAGGAGGGGCTGGCAGGAAAGCTTTGGAGAGGGCTGTCGTCCGGCGTGAGGTCCGAAAGTGTCGTTCCTTTTCTGTAGAGTTCCGGGCTTTCCTGCTGAAGGGGAGTCCCAGTGGACAGGACCTCAATCTCATCGCTTGAATGCTGGTGCTTTGGCCTCTGGCACTCAAGCCCTAGAAGGTGAAGAAGGAGCAGAAGGTGAANGTGGGCTGATCCTTTGCTGTTTCCACGGCGATCCTGTGGGACAGTTCTAAGCACCCTGCAGGCTGGATCCTGCCCCTGGGCCTTGAGTTTGACACCCTTGCTTTAAAACAACTTTTTCACAAAGTCTAGCGAAGTTGGTTCCTGAAGGAGAAAATCCACATGGTGCCCCCTTGTGGAAAGAAATAAATAAAACTGAATAACTGGCAACTTTGCTGATGTTTCTAGGAATTTCAAAATCACTTTTCTGAATGATAATATTTACTTGCCATTTCATTCAATTGTCCAACAGTATAAGCAAAATTCTTATGTTTTGCAAATATAAAATGTCTTTGAAACAAAGAAAACTTATAGCGATGGTTTAACATACAGTAGCAGAATAGAAACATTGTTTCTCTTCTATTTTTTACAATATCTAAAACGCAAATGTTTTTTTTTACATTTTTGTGTTCATTTGGTTGTTTATAATAAAGGTTTGGCTAATCAAAGTGGCACCTCTATCCAATTTTGATAAGCTAAATGGATTCAGTCCCGAGCAGAACTTGTATGGGAGACCACCAGGAAAATCCCAGGAATATCCACTGGATTTTGAAGTTAAAATATATACCATGAAGAAACACAATTACAAAACACAAGAATGGATATGTCATGATCAGGAAATGAGTTGAATTTTAATAAAATTATCACTTAGACATGGATTTTGAAATTTTCCCTACAGACTCATATGATGACAATTGCTCTTTGTTTTATACTATCAGACTTTAAGAAGCAATGGAAACTGGTGAAAAAGGGATTATCTTTAAAACGTAATCCAATGGCAAGATAAAAAAAAGAGAATGACAAGAAATGTAGAATAAAGGCCTGATAGGCAATAATCTACACTCAGTGATAGAAAGGTTGAGATGAGATCATGGAATAGATTATTTAGTGGTGAAGACAAACATACTGAACAAGCATGTGAGAAGTTGACTGATGCAGGCGTTAGTCGATGTAGTGGTTTGTGGATAAGGGCATTGTGTCTATTATTAAATACGGGGGTACTGGATGTCTTCAGAACGAAGCCAGAAATCTGCCATATGTGTCAATCACAGGAATTGCTGCCAAATTGTCAGCACAGGATGTTCAGGAGGGATTTACCATATAATACTGGAGTGCAAAATTGGTGCAAACACAAATCTTTTTATCCTTCTTTGAGGAGATAGTTTTCCCTTTACTAGCAGGAGCTATCCAGGCAACTTCTCTTGAACCAGGTAATGCCATATGACATAGGATTTTCATACATAACCCTAAACCCACAGATACACACAACACAATACACACACACACACACACACACACACACACACACACACAATTAGAGCATTATAAAAAATGAGATGGTTTCCTTCTTGCTTTCTAGTTTCAATGCCATTTCAGTTTTGTCTGTGTATAGAAAGGTAAAGATTCCCCTTGGACATATGTGCTAGTCGTTCCCGACTCTAGGGGGCGGTGCTCATATCCATTTCAAAGCCGAAGAGCCAGAGCTGTCTGAAGACCTCTCCCTGGTCATGTGGCCATCATGACTAAATGCCAAGAGTGCACAGAACACTGTTACCTTCCCACCAAAGTTGGTTCCTATTTTTTCTACTTGCAATCTTACAAGCTTTTGAACTGCTGGGTTGGCAGAAGCTGGGACAAGTAACGGGAGCTCAGTCCATTACGTGGCACTAGGGATTCGACCGCTGAACTGCCAACCTTTCTGAGTTCAGCGTCATGGCCA